CCGTTTAAGCATATTTGGAGGTCAAAAGCTCCGCCCAGACTGGCTTTTTTCATTTGGGAAGTTGTCAAAGAAAAAATCTTGACCAATGATGCATTGAGAAGAAGAGGAATGATAATAACCAATAGGTGCTATATGTGCAAATCTGATGAAGAATCTTGCAATCACCTGTTACTTCATTGTCCTATGGTCTACAGAATTTGGGAGCATGTGTATGGAATTTTGGGTTTAAAGTGGGCCTTGGCGGGTAGTGTTAGCAAGGAGTTGTGGGCGTGGGTTGGATTATGTAAAATGAAAAAAGATTTATTTCTTATCTCATTTTCCATTATGTGGATGGTTTGGAGGGAGATGAATGTTAGGGCTTTTGAGGGTTTTGAAACAGATATTGTAAATATTAGGGATAGATGGTTTCATATTTTTGGATCTTTTTTGATTGGTCATGACATAGTTGATTGGAATGATATAGAGGTTGTTATGGACCATCTGATCGATTGTTAATTTTGCATTATTGAGACAATATCCCATTAGTACCTTTGTGCATAATAATATTTTTCTTTTATTTAAAAAAAAAAAAAGAAATAATGGTATGTTTGGTAGATATAGGGTTGGATTGAACAAATCTTTATGTTAAATGTTTGATAATCAATAAATAATACTGGACACGACTACGATTACTAAAATGCCATTTATACTGTTTTATGTTTAATTTTTAATTTTTCATGAATAGAAAAATATTATTCATAATTACATCAATTTATTAGATTTAGATTGCTTTTTTAAGAAATTAATATTATTTAAATGTTGATAATGAATTCCTAACAAAAATGTTAAAATACTAATATTAGCAAATTATTTCACACAAAAATTATTATTTTATTTTTTATTCTTAATTTTTAACAAAAATATTAGATTATTCATACTAATAAATTATCCACACAAAAATAATAATGTATCAGACCTAGCTGTCTATCACAAAGCTACCTAATTACAATTAGTATAAGATAATGAATTAATAATAATAAATTACCATATGTTGTGAAACTATCTTTTAAGTTATAGCATTTATAGGATAGTAAATTATATGATTAATACTTGTAAGATATCCAGGGTTATATATAAAATTGATATGTGAATAAATAAAATTTATTGTTCTTTGCGTGCAAGAATATATCTGCGTGGATATCTGCATGGCATTGCCATGTTTCAGATGCATAAAATCTTTTATTCTCTTTTAAGTATAGTTTAATATATCAATGCCTGAATGGAACATATTTTTCAGGACTAGAGTAATTAATGTTATACCAAATCAATGAATCTACTTTAGCAGTTGTCTAAAAAACAAAAAGGAAAATAAAATGCTGTTGCACCTCAAATAAACTACTCAATAGGTAATTTGGTGCATGCAGAATGACTAATTCCGAACTCTTTTTGTTAATCTTATTCTGAGTGATTAACATCCAGGTTAACTAGAAGTTAAAAGATTAAATTTCTAGAAAGTAGCTTACTTTCTCCAATATCAGTTCACATTTGAATGCATTTTGTGCATGTTGTTTCCTGACTTTTCACAAATATATAGACTCTCTAATGGGCTAGTCTTTCCTACAATTTTAGTGATTCTATTGCAGTCTTCTTGCAGACACCAAATTCTCCTGTTGCTACTGGAAGTTCTGGTGG